ATTAGACTGGCCACGGTAACAGTATGATGTCATTGATTGTTCATAATTAGACTGGCCACGGTAACAGTATGATGTCATTGATTGTTCATAATAAGACTGGCCACGGTAACAGTATGATGTCATAGGTGGTTCGTGACATATGCCGACCAGGAAGCAAGCGATTCATGGATGTGCGTTTTGACGCGACTCAACGTTAAGTCTTTCACAAATGAAATACTGGTTGTCTTATCAGTCCCTCTTCACTGAGATCACGTGTCATTCCCTTCAATAAATTACTTTCTTTTTCTAGTTTTGTTACTGAGAGAAAAACGTAAATGGAACTTATAAAACATTACTATAATTTTCGAAAGTTAAAATGGTCTGAAACAAGGAAACCTTACAGCCAAAGGATATAGTTATAAACACTTACAGTATTTCAAAAAACGTTAGTTCTCGGTCCGATCGAGTCTGAAATGGGCGAACTGAGGCTAAACTGAATTTTTTTTGCTTTTATGTTTTATGGCCAAAATACGAAAAATCACATTTCTAACTCAAATTGTTAAATTTGAAGCGTGTTACTGGGTCTCAGATTTCAGATCTCCAACCAACGATTTAAAATAGATATAGGTTTATATTGACGTTGAAATATGCGGTTATCATTTGTAAAAAGCGACAAGTATAATGTCCGTATTTTGTAGACCGGCAATCTTACATAATATATAATAATATTTAGTTTGATCAATAGGCATACTAATCTTCTTTCTAATCAGTATCGTCGTTTTTAGCTATACACAATGATAGTTTAAAGCAACACAAAGTAACGAAGACAATAGAAATCAATTAACAATAATTTTCAAAAAATCTCTTACCTTGTTGTCTTAACTGCTTTTTAAAGGATTTTGATCTCCTTTTTATCCGCGATGAGTTGATAATGAATAACTTAAACCTTTAACAAACTGGATACAGTTTTAAAGTAGTAACAACAGAAAAACACTAATGCTAAACCGTTTTATTCACAGAGGAAGAACACAAAGAGATAAAAACAGCTGACAGGAAAAACACGACTGACAGCTGCACAAACGTGCAGACATTTTTGGCGGGAAAACACCTTGACGTGCGTAAGTAGTCCATTTGAAAGAATTACAAACAGTACTGAACAATATATCTAGTTACGGACACATAATACTCAACTTGTTATGTCTTTAAGAACAAATATTGTAATCTAAACTAAGTGTAAAAAAAGGGCAGTACAAAAGGGTGCTGTGAAGGGCCGTTTGGAAATGGTTGTTTGATGGTGTCAAGGTGACCATGCACCTCGTCCCTGAGTCGAGTACCGAGTACCTGTAGAAAAAATATTGCATGTAGTTTGGAATTTCCTGGTCAGCTGTCGATTATTTTTCTGCTGACGCTTAATATAACATATCATAAACAAACTAGAGTGCATACCATATATTCGTGAAAAACTTTGTAAGAAATTGCACAGATTAGTAAGTTGAGTAGACCTCAGTGGACCGTAGACCTACAAAACTTTGCACTAATTTGTACCATTTTGATAGTTAACTTTTTCACTGATATATGGTTTGCACTCTATCATGACAAACGTCTAAGAAAAGAACTTAGAAAAATGACTACAACACTGTGTAGAAAAAAGGGTGTTTATTGTGGTTGTTTAGCTAATTATGATTACTTTATAACCAATAACACAGAAGATTAACAGTAAATACGAGAGAGGTTTTCTTATGAGTGGGAAACTGTACTGGTCTACAGCACGTATATGTACTGTACGACATACTGTAACTGAAATGGCTTCCCATTGTCTTTCAAGAGTTCATCCACAAGTGACTCGTCAGTTGCGGCTACGGTTATAAGATACGATGCGAATTGAATTTGCCGCATCGTTTTCCACTCATACGAAAACTGCTCTATTTACATCATTACCTTTCCATACATAACAAATACTAACTAAACTACTAACTAACTAGGTACTAACTGGACTAAAAAACAGACAGTCGGAATACTAAGGACGTGAGTCTACGTGTCGGGATGTAACATGTAACCCTTGCACAATTTATTCAAACCTCATAATTTATGTTGCTTTGGGATGGTAAAAATAATATTCTAGTCAGTTAGCATTAGAGTTGCCATACCTAAACGTTAATAGGTCCTAAAGTGCTTACTCACTTTGCCCAGTTCTTAAGATCTTTCCCCAGAAATACGCTACATTGCCGGGGGTACCCCACATTAAAAAATAAACAGTTTTTATAGCGTTTTGAAGTCTACTAGTTTACACGAGACACTTGGAAAAAATAAGAAAATCGAATTACCAGACTCGGTTGTAATTGACTAAGACCATATTAGAAAAAAATCGCAGTTTATCATAATAGGCCCTTTGCAGCTAAGCAATCACGTGCTGATTAATTCACTGAGACCAAATTAATGAACATTTTGATTCCCAAGGGTGAAATGTACTGGACTGCAAACAAACTTTCTACAACCTGTTTCGAGAGATCGTAATAAAACTGCATTTCGTAACACACTGGATACACATGTTTTCATTCAGTTCTTTACAAGTAGCTAAAAAGAATCAACAATTTGATGTAAAAACAAAAATTTTGCAGTCCAGTACAGACACGTGACCGTTAACTGCAAAGGGCCTATTAAACCTAATCACATATATCTTCGAAGGCATATAACTATCATCAAGGACAACAGCAAACATGACATTAACAATAATAATAACCATTAGGCCCTTTACTGATTTGAAATGACTTTATAAATTAAGTTTTTATAAAAACGTGGATCTGATATCGCGATATGATATGCCCCATATTTAATATAGCTAACAATGATCGGCAATGTTATGTTATTTACCCTTTAATAAGGTTTGAAAATAGAAGTTAGTAGAAGTAATAAAGTTTTTTCACTACGAATAGGATTGGAATTTCTTTCTTTCTCATTGGTTCCCAGTTAATAAGAGTACTGACAATTAACGTGATTGGCCGGCTTGAAGGAGCGCAGGTTTTCTAGGTCTCGGTTACCAGACCCCTCTCGCCCAAACTCTTATTATTCCGGGAAAGAGAAACGGCAAGCGTTTGACGAGAGGAGTCTGGGGAACCGAGGCTGGCTTACCAATATTGGTTGTTTTGTTTCATTTGTTCATTTAAAGAAATCAAAATAAATTTAGGTTTTTCCGTTTTATGAAATCAAATCAAATCAAGTTGAATTTACATGCGTAAGAAAAAAAAATCATCCACACTCATATATCTATACCTGTGGACGACTTCCTTTTGACGTCAGGTCATGTCAGGACGTCGGGAAGCCAATCAGAAAGCAAGAACTGTGAATGTTATGTCGTTAAGTGCTAAGCTATCCTTATATAATCTTTTTTTGCATGGATGGGGCTTTCATCGGATAGGGTTCTTATTGGGCACAACTATAAAGCTTCGTCATTCAAATTCGAAAGTGTTTTTCAAAATGTTCGTATTGAAGGATAACCTCAATTTCACTACCCGTAAAAGACATTTATGTTTGTCAACCCTTTGCTACCCTTTTTTAAACCAGTATTTTTCTTAAACCTCATGAGACCCTTTTAGACGATAAAAATTCACCTGCATGAAGCTTGTGAGTAGGATTCTGCAAGACAATCTTTAGGTGTCGATTTCATTGTGAAAGGGGCGGGGCATTAACGTTAATTAACCTGTCAATCCAGAGTTTACAACCTTTTTAAAATGGTGTGCTATGTATGACGTGCAGATTTGATTACTATAGGTGAAAAAAGGTTAAATATTATTATTTTAGCCATCCCAAGGTCGAGAAAAAGACTGGAAATCATGTGTCCCCTAATAAAGTCCCAAAATGCGCTGTAATTCCAACTCGACCCAGTCTTTTCCTTAACCTCGGAATGACTAATAGTTGAAATATATGCATGATGGTACGCTGTAGTAGCTAACAATATTGTCATTTGTCATGCTATAAAATGACTAAAATTATTACTGAATGGCTAAATGCATGGATTAAGTTCTGCACACACACAGCACGCAGGTAGGAGGCCAGAAGGAACTTTCTTTAGTAATATTACAGAGTAATTAGTATATGTAATAGGACTCCATGGAAAATTCCGAGGACTGACAAAATTGGATGAGGCCGTAGGCCAAGTCCAATTTGGCAGTCAGAGGAATTTTTCGAGTCTAATTATTTCTTGATTGGGGAGCATGAAGTCCCATTACCTATTAATCATATAGCTGCCTAATTAATCCCATATCAACAAGACCTGTCCAATTAAGAAAATAATTGGACAGTTACCTATATGGGATTAATGAGAAGCTGTAGAATTATTCAGAGTAATATTAGATTCAGAAGGGAGAAGGGGGCAGATACTGAATTGGTATACGTAATATTAAATTAAGAGGTGCTGCTGGACCTTCCAGGATCCGTAAGTATCTGTTAATTAACTACTTCTCCTCGATAAGGTGATGCCAACGCGCTACAGACTTTCCTGTCGATGACATAGCATTCCAGTGATCTACAGCTTCATCGGTAGAGCTTGCACCAATCATTAACTTACCAATTATCCTTTCCCTACCCCTATCAGAATGATGCTTCACTAGTATCATGACGCTTACTCGGTGTAGAATTCGATTTGGGATGTTGAAGCTGAAGGCCTCATTCCATACTGGGTTGGTTTCTCGTTTTTTTAAGACGGTTCTCTTCTTCTTCAGTCTCTTTGCTCCCATCATGATATATACTTTAACAAAAGGGTCTGAAAACAGGGAATGAAGATAGCAACAAGTGAATAAGAAGACTACTTTAAACACCATGTAAAAAAGTTTGTTACTATACCGACGTTTCGGACGGTTTGTCTTTCGTCGGAAAAAAAGTAGAAAATGAAGAAAGCAATTAGGTTTAATTTTATGTCGAAAGAATTTCCTTTTGTAAAAGCTTTTCACTAGTAACAGCAACAACAACAACAATAACTTTATTTGCACTCTTGATGTATAATTAAATATATATGGCGTGTAGTTGCCATTATCCTTACACAGGTTCACCTTGAAACATTCCAGCACTTACCTGGTTTTCTATTTTTATCAATAAGTTTGAGATTCCTTCCTTTCATGATTACTACTGTCAACTTTTCTGAGGGCTTCCAGTAAGCCATGGATACTAGAAGCATTTGACCGGATTGGTCGGGCTCTTCTGTTGCGAAACTTACGGACGGTCGAACGAGAGGCATTTCTTCGCCGCTCTCTTGTTCTTCAGTCTAAAAATACAAATACAAATCATGCATTCAATTAGCTATACTACTATACACCAAGGTTAACGAAACTTGTCTGAGATGCGATTTCTTAGTTTTTCATAGGCGAGAGGATAACTCTTGGTTAACCCTATATTTGGGTAGAACAAACAAATATTCAACCTTCAAATATTGAAATATTTTATTAGCGATGTCTGCTAGACTCAAAGCCCATTCAGGTCGCACATGGATCCCATATCGCATATAACTGATAATAATATTACCTTTTCGCACATGGATCCCATATCGCATATAACTGATAATAATATTACCTTNCACATGGATCCCATATCGCATATAACTGATAATAATATTACCTTTTCGCACATGGATCCCATATCGCATATAACTGATAATAATATTACCTTTTCAAGATCGTCTGATCCCGCTACTTCTGACACCTCTGCACTTGAATCAACCGTCGTGGCATCTTCAGTGTCAACACCTTCCTCCTCAGTTGTTGTAGACATCACAGGATCGCCTACAGTGCTATCCACTATATCAGCCAACTGGCGCTTTCGTCTCAACTTAATGATATCGCGCACGATCGTAATCTCGGTGTCAGATAGCAACTTCTTCATAGGTACACTTGCAAGAGGGACGGTAACAATACCTATCAGTGTAGGGGGTGGTGGTGGGGGTGGAGGTGGGGGAGGGGGTGGTGGTTCACGTTTTTTCCCTTTCTGTGGAGGAGGTGGTGTCGGTGGTTTCGGCTCGGGTATACCTGTCTCCATCATGTCGATAACGCGGAAACAGAGCGTCTGGTTGCCGAGGTCGTTGACAGGAATCTCAAATCGGAAGCTTTCGTACATGTGAGGGTTGCAAGTGTTTTGGTATATCTCGGATTTGACTTTACCATCATGGCTGTATTTAACCTCTAGCTCAACCAGTGGATCTGGTGAATGATTGGTGTCAAGTCTTCTTGGAAGGTTAGACAAACGGACCAACGTTAGGGTCATGGTGGAACTGTAGAAAGAGGAGATCAGTAACGGGAATTAGTTGATGGACATAAACAACCTGCTACCCCGATGCACCATCTTCGAGCCCTTTGTTGCTCTTTAGCAGTTAAAAGAAAGCTTCAAACAATGAAGCAACAGCATCAGCTGCCTATCATTGTACAAAATCACATACTAGATTTGGGCAACAAGGACGACTGCCTTTGCAAACTCATCCTGAAGCACTCGTGGAATGCTAGGCAATCAAGGGGGAATCTGTTGCTCCAGCCAATATGGCTGTCGCTAAGATGCTATATTTTATCCTATCTTTATGTTCTTACGAACCAATACAGTGCCGTAAGCGTGCCGTGTCATGACCGTGATGTTTTCTAGAATTTTAATTTTCGATTTTTTCTCGCGAAATGTGATTGGTCTGGCAGTGCCGTGACCTTAGCGTGACCGTGTCCGTGCCGTATTCGTGCCGTGTTTCGGGCATTTCATTGGATGCAGAGTAATGCCGTGTTCGTGCCGTGAGCTTTTCACAGTAATACAAAAACTGCGTTAATGAGGGGCGTGGTCCGTGAATTAGCATTAATCTTCCTTGAAGTTTTCCTTAGACTCCGATTAAACCGATCTATTCAAACCTACTCACCTTAGCTGATAGAAATGCAGCAAAAATTCTAGGGATCCTCGTCGTTCAACCATTTCGTCCTGTGGATTAAACCATTGAAGTGATTGATCAATAACTTATTTGATAACAATAACAATAATAATGTTGATGATGATTACGAAGATGATGATAATGATCGGATAATGATCGGATTATGATGATGATGATGATCGAATGATGATGGCGTAATGATGACTATCGGATGATGATGGGGATTATGATGAGGAGACGTACTTTATTAGAGAGTGTAAACTTCACGCGAATAATAAACTCTCGACAACATAAAACCGATACTAGAGAAAAACGTTTGCGCATGCGTGCATTTCAGACGTTTTCTAAGAATTTTGAAGCATTTTGAGAAAATAAATGTTTGTTTTCTCCAAGTATACAAAAACGATTGAGAGTATACTTTTGTTAGACCAAGATACTGTATTAAAAAATACAATATGAAAGAATTTTTCACTTGTGTCCATGAAACCAGCACTTCCATGCGTTTAGTAACATAACTTATACTACTACTATCTTACCGGAGGCATTCCACCGCTAGAGCTGTAGTCCATTTCTAAACTCTCCAACAGAAAGTCATCTTGTTCTTCTTCTTTCACCGGCGGATAGACATCATCCGGGGACAGTATAGGCCTTCTTGTCTCGGGCTGCACCGCAACACTCTCAATATCTACCAGAGACTCGTCTTTGTAGATCACGTACGAGTCATCGTGTGGTAAGACAAGCTTCTTTTTCTTTGCGCCATCTTTCTGTGAGTGGGATTGTTTGTCGTGTCTGGTCTTGAATGCGTAGTAGATTCCAGACGCGGCAATTGTAGCCAGTAAAATGCCAGCAACTATACTTAATATGGTAATTACCAATATATCCATTTGGTCACCTACAACTAAAAAGAATTCCAAGTTTACTGATTGGATCAGGTATAGAATATTTATTTAAATATTAAAGTTTTCGAATTTCAAATGAAAAACTGCTTTCGAAATGACATTATTGGCATAGGAATGTGACGTCATGGCCGCCATGTTGGTTGGCTTTGACAAGAGGTTTTGTCTTGATAAACTAGATAAAGTCGAACCCCGTTCATGAACACTGTGGGGGGCAGAAGAAAGTCCATGCATTAAGCTAAGCCATCGTGAGAGCAGATACATTACTAGGACAAATACAAGTGCTTGTAATAGCGCTGTTCGTACTAAGTGGGCTTTTATTTATAATCGCATAGGGGGGGGGGGGGAAGTTCGGCAAAATTGTAGGGGGGTTACGTTATATTGAAAAAGTGAAGGGGGTTGAGAACTATTGCAGAGTGATGAAGGGGGGATGGGGGGGTTATGCAATTGTTGCCTCTACCATGGAGGGGAGTTTGG